GGAGGGGAGTTTGGGGGGTGTGGGAGGAGGGGGGGAGGGGAGAGAGAGATCCTATGTCAATATGAACTTTCCCCATCAAGTCATTTGTTGTAGAACACCAATGCGTCCCAGAAAATGTTGTGGCCCATTCTCAGCTAAGTGGGTTGGGACTTTGACATTGACCGGTGCTCAAAGAATGGCAAAAGTGTGTGTGTGTGGGGGGGGGGGGGCTGATTAAATTGAGTTGCATTGCCCTCCCACACACCAATGTTAACCAACTCTTGGCTCTCCTAAGTCCTCTAAACTTTGTAACTGAGAGAGCTATAGATTATACCCAGATATTTTCCTACTGACGTTGACTGATTACTAAAGAGAAGCAATTCATTGGCTATGTTCACATATCAACCTAGGCTAATCATCTCTGTTAACAGTCATGTAAAAAGCTCTATTATACAGTTTTGTCACATGTTGTATTTTAACCAAGCTTTGTGGCTAACCATGTTATCCAAGTCCAAAATGGCTGAAAACTAGGACTTTACCCTATGACAGACGTTGGATAGATTCATCAGTTTCTGGAGCCGTCTTGTTCTTTCAGGATCGTTTTGTTAAGAAAACTCTTAATTCCTCTGAACTCACTTTGAAAGCCATTTCCAAGATAGTCAACTCAAAGGTCTTGAGCAAATTGGCCACAGAATCATCAACCTGCTCCTTGGTTTGCATTTGTGGGTTCCTGCCTAATTCTGCCTTCAGAGGGCAACCTTGTACAGATGATTTGCTTGCAAACTATCTCTGATTTCTTTGCCGAAAAAGAGTTCAAACTCAGTGCTTATAACACAGACACCGCACAATCGTTTGTCAGTGCACTCCTCGCATTTAGAAGATGCTTTTATGTAAGAACTGCTTTAAATGAATTGTGATCAAATGTGTGTGCACATGGTTGGATTTTGTCCTCCACCTCTGGGAATAAAAGCTTAGGTAACTTGCACTAATTGAATTCTGAATTTAGATTGGCAAGGGAAGAGAACACTTTATACATACGGGAAGAACAGTAAGTATGTTCTTATGCAATAATTGCAAGCACCAGAGCAAACAGAACTTTTTATTATGTTTTTTTCACACCAAGCCATTTACGTCCTTCAAAATAGCAAAACAAAATATGCTGCCAGGATACACATATTTGCTAGCACCCCCCTCACCTCCTGACATTTTACAGGCCGTCCAGAAAAGATTGCTGAGGCCAAAGTCAGAATAATTAAAAATCCATACTATTAATGTTACTACTGTATCACTACTACTGCTTAGGACACTGAATTTCTATTATTATTACTATTACTATTACTATTACTATTACTATTACTATTACTATTACTATTACTATTCGTATAATCAGCCAGATGTTTAGACTGGATTTGGCATTTTTGTCCACCTATCGAGTCTTTCCCAAGGACCTGGGATGGGCAGATGTTGTTGTTTGATGGAGTTAAAGGGATCGTTCCAAGATGGAAGCTGTTCCAAGTAAAGCTGCCTTTGGCAATGGGCTGATGGTGATTTT